GTGGGTCGGCGCGTGGCCTCCTTCGCAGCGTGGGTCGGCGCGACCTCCTTCGTTTCTGGTGACTCCGTCCATGATTATTAATAGCATAAGATATCATGATTTATGTATATAGCCTATGTGTCCTATCGCTATATCATGCTATATCATATGCCGTATGTCGTATGTCGTATATATACCATTATATAGATTTGTTGCTTGCAAGTTTGGGCCGCTGTCGCCCACGATGCCCGTTTGAATGTTTTCGGGAGAAGTACCGAACAACGCCGTGCGTCCCAAACGCATTGGTCGCATTGGTCGCAGCATGTTGGAACTGAAAGATTGGCATCTTTGCGAGGACTCAGAGTAGAAATCCTACCTCCAGAACAACTGACTTCAGCCTGAAAGAGGCAAACACAATGTCTAGATACCAGCATTTGCATCGATTCATTTTTGCACTTGCTTCATCATGCCTACTGCCTTCCCGTCGCAGGCACTTCGAGGACAGGGCTTTCTTTGGCTTTGCAAGTAGAGAAGATCCACGGGCCATTCAGAGGCCCATGACAAGTTCATAGCAACTCGTTTCGTAATTTATGGTTGCTTTATATGTGTTTCCAAACAGGAGCTTGACATGTTACTCTCACATGCTGCCTCCAAGTGTTGACCACAAATGCACACAGGAGATCTGCAGCTTTCCTGTAGCTACGGGACACTCACGGTGGATTCGCTCGGAGCCCGATGTGCAGGCATTGGCTTAACAGTTTCCCCACTAAACCAGAGCAGGCGGAGAAAAGGAGAGACATTTCTTTTCCAGGGAAACTGAGCGAGTCAGAGATGACCATGCAGTTTCTGAATATTTCTGTGTGACCACGGGTGGGGACAACATCTTGCATATTGGGAAGAGCAAGAGCATGATTGGAAGAAGTGGCACCTGTCACGGTTTTGTGGATCTTTGCAAGAATCCTTGACTAGTGGTCTAGAAAGTTGAGCAATATAATTAGAATTCCTTAGAATTCCCAAGCGGGGGGAGATCAGGTTTCATGGACTTCGATGCTCCAAAATCGGCCGCACTCCTCGCCCAGGTCCGCTTGCTACGCTGTGTGCTTGAACTCAGCCCAGGCAGAAGTCCATGTAGAAAGAATATCAAGCGTTTTTCTATAGTCACAGTGGTTTTAGAGTAGATGGCACAAACCTGAAGATATCTTTTAGATGAGGGTCCATACAAACCACCTAACTTGGGGATTGTGCCATCTATTCTGAAACCACTGTTGGCTTGTTTTGTTCGATGATCTGAGTCGTTCGATTCGGATCGACGTCCGCACAGGCCATCTTCGGCGGCAGTGTGCACACCGTGACGCCCTCTGAGGCCAAAACGGTGTTCCGAACGCGTCGTGTGATGCGATATGACGCCGATGATGAGTGGTGAACGTTTGGATCGAGTACTAATCACCAAAAGCCATAATTACTCGGCTCGAGTGTTTCGTGCTATTGCTACTAGGTTGGGAGACCATCGCTATTAGGTTGGGAGACCATCGCTACTAAGGTGGAGGCGATTGCTTTTAGACCTGTGTTTTGCTCCTAAGTCAACTTAGTCACACATGAGCCGAGTCACACAGTTGAGTGTTGGCGATCCAGGGCGACACAGCTGAAACGTGGCTGAACCTTAAAACCATTCTCAGGAGATTGCCGATGGGAACAGCTTCAGCGTTCCCTGCGTGGATCTGCTCGCTGGATGGGAGGGCAATGTTTGAGTCTTAGAAACGAACTGAGAGGAGCTTCGCAAATGAGCAACATCGAGCTGTTTCGTGGCTTTCGCGTCCACTTTCTTCGCTCGGCCGTGCAGCGAAGCCCGTGAAGTCAGCGACCGTTAGACCCTGGTTGAACTGGTGAACCACACTGCGAAGCCAGTGTATAACAATGGTTGCTCTGCGGATTAATTGAACAAATGGTGGTTTGGAATCGTAAAGACAAGTTGTTATCAATTTGTTGCAGTTGCTCTTCCGAACCACGCTTAAGAACCGACAAGTGATCAGCTTTGCGCTTTAGCATATGCTGGCTGAGGAATTGATTTCCTGGTCGGATCATGCAATCTTAACCATGCAATTTTGGGCTTTGCCCGCAGGATCCCGCATGCAGGATTTTAATCCAAAGATTCCGCATTCGGAAGCAAGTTTTGGCCTTTGCCCGAACTCGTGCGTCGTGGACACCTAGGTCATTGCCACCTGTACCACAGGCTCCTTATCAGTGGATGCATCCGGCTGTTCGCACGGGCCGCCCAGTGCTTGGCGAATCGATGTTGGAGGCCATCGCTAGTAGGTTGGAGGCCATTGCTATCGTAAGACTTGTAACAACTCAAAAGAATATTCTTGTTGTTGTTGTTGTTGCTGGTAACTCCTTTGGGGGCAGATTGAGATCGAATGGAGTTTGGGAGCCCATTCGGATCCGATTTGGGTCTGATCTTGGCTGTCCTTTTTAAAGGCCACCTTATACGTCTAAAACGGTGTAGATTTGGGTCTGTCTGAGAATGGCTCCCCTTACACCACCTGCCAAGTCAGAGATCTTATTAGGGCTGAGTTCACTTGCGAGAATGTTGCGCCTAACTCCTGCTAAGCGCGCCCTGATTATGATATGCTGAATTGCTATGAGTTGCTATGATTGTTTGGCGTTGAACTTCCCATGAAAATACCTTCGAACACATAGCTTTGACCATCATTACCCTTTGAATGGCATCACGAAGACAAGCAACAAAGACAGTATCCTGACTTCCAGTAGACGACCACTGGCCCACAGTCGGGTTCATCTCGACAGATGTCAACAGCTTCTGCCCACTGAAGTCGCTGAAGTGATGGGATTTGTCTGATCTTTTCTTTGATTCAAAGTTAGATCATTATTGATCAACCTATCATCCACATACCCTTCGTCCATCTGCGAGAATTCGACCATGAAGACCATGATTTGCACCAGTCTTCATTCTCTTTCAGGGTCGTTTCCATCCCTTCATCACCGCCAGGGGTCTTCCCTGCGAAGTGGGCGACAGCATCAGCGTCACTCTCTATGATCAGACCCAGTCTGTGGCCATCTCCCAGGAGACGCAGATTATTCAGATCTCGAGTGACGTGACGATCTCATGTGATGCGTTTGGCACCACTGAGACTTGACCAACTTTCGAGATCACAAAAGAGTTCAATAAACATCAAGAAGTCTAAGACAGAGTACATCAGAATATACTCCGGTGGTTTCTATTGACATGTTCCCATATCGTTCCTTTTCTGGGGTTCGGTGTTTACATCGTGTCAGCATGAACGTGTAGAGAAAACTCTGTGCGTGGAGAAAACTCCGGTCGTGTGGTCCACAGGAGTTAGCCCATGAGACTTCGTCCTCAGTGGCGTGCTCCAGCGTCAACGCAGACTATGCCCGGGCACCCGGCGTCGGTGTCGCCATCGCGACGTAGGTGTCCGGGGTGGAGGTCATCGCTCGTAGGTAGGACCGGAGGGCCGAATTCGTAGGTTGGAGGCCGTTGCTAGGTTGAGATCTCTTTCCGAAGTCTCGACAAATCCTTCAAGAAGTGGGAGGGGCCAACTACTTCACCCAGACAGAGTGTATTGTATAGCCTACATTTCGGATGATTAGAAAGGACTCAATATTGGCTCCACCCTAAGAATCCTTGGGCTCTCCGTGGCAGGGGTCGGACCCTCCATAGCAGGGGTCCAGGCCCTCAAAACCCTATGTGTTTGAGGGTCCGGATTCTTAGGGCAATGTATTAATGATGTGTGTATAGAATAGGGTGACCTTCTTAAGACTCCCTCAAAAAAATAAAATAGAGCAAAACTGGCAAGAAACTCCATTCGCAGGAGATCTCCCATTTTTTTCCAACTGAGATGGTCGGACTCCGTCCGTTTTGAAGAGCATCGTCCGTCCGTTTCTGGACGAGGCCGGAGACTTCATCTTGACCTGCCTGGCAGACGTGCCGAGCTTGCGGAGACCGGCCGAAGCGGAGAAGACGATTTGACTGATGTCCTTTCGTTGAAGATCATTTTAAGTCAGGGCATCGCTACGAACGGAACAAGGTTCGCTACTAGGAGTAAGCTCAGGGCGACTAGTTAGCGACCCTGGTCACTGGACGCCGGATGCAGTAAGCTCATTGAGCTTCGGTTCCTGGGCGAAGGTTCCAAACAAGAGAGATCCAGGTGAACCATGGTGAGTGACGGTGCATCCATGCGAAGGCCAAACAACATGCAATCCAATTAAAATGAACATCCCGGGAAGTTGACCAAGCTTTGCGGATTTTGAGTGGCTAGCCATTAGCAGTCTAACAACTGTAGCATACTGTGGCCAATGTTGGCCAAGATTCCAGAGTTTCAACACAGTGGCCACGTGGCCGCTTTTGCCGTCGTGTCCGTCTTGAGTGTCGAAAACCTCGAGACACGTCCGGTCACCACATCAATGTCAGTGCCTGTTTCCGCCTTGTCACAACAAAAGAAAGTCTTTGGGAAAAGACATCAAACAAAGGCAGTACTATTTGTGCCGTTTTGAAGATCCAAGTCGAATCACTGATGAATTGGAAAACCTTTTGATCAGTCTTGAGTCTTGGGGGACAGGCCATGGTGTCAGTTTCTTGAGCCTGCTTAGCACTCGGCGCGTTGCGCTGAAAAGAAACAGCTCGAAAGACCTGTGAAGATGTGTGAAGCAAAGGGCATCGCTACTATAGGAGCAAGGACGCTACTAGTAACAAGTGCCTTACTAGTAGTAACAAGGAGCTACTAGGGGCTCCTGGCCTTACTACTAGGAGCAAGGACGCTACTAGGGGCTCGGGTTCAAAGCGGCAAGCCCGTGCGTACCAGTCTTGCCCCGCATGCGGACGGATCTGACGAGGATGGACGGACCGTTTGACCTCGTGGCTTGACCTCGTGACCTGAGGTGCTCCAAGTGGACAAAAGTGGCTGCGTTTGCCAGGCCAGAACGGTCGAAGTGCTCTTGCAGGATCGACCAATCAATATTATTCTAATCGCTACTAGTAACAAGTGCCACGCTAGTAGTAGTAACAGGTGCCTTACTAGTAGTAACAAGAAGCTATTATTACTAGAAGCGATGCACTTGTTTCTACTAGCTTCTTGTTCCTACTAGTAAGGCACCTGTTACTACTAGCGATGCACTTGTTTCTACTAGCTTATATTACTCTGTTTGATGTGAAAAGACCATATTTTGGGTGGTTCGTGATCCAAAATAGGGGTATTCAGGTTCTGGGTTATACGAGATCCCACAAACATTCGCAAACCGTTTTTTCCACTCACTCAACTCTTGGTCCTGCCAGGGACAGCAACCTTGCATCGTGCTGTGCGGCGGGTTCCAAAGCTATGTGAGTCCCTCACTGTTACTTGACATAATAACAATTTAATGTACAAATGATACGATTCTATGATGAAGAAAGCATCACAGTTGACGAGTCAAGTACTGCTGGCCATCTCCTATGTGATTGTCCCCAAGCTCATAGATGGCCAAGTAACTCTCCCACCACTCCCAGTTCGGCAACGGCGAACACGTTGGTCGTTCCTTTTGTTTTTTCTGTCGTTTGGTCGTCTTGCTGGTCGTTTCAGTCACCTTCTCCATGTCGTTGTTCTGCCAGGAGCAGGCCTGTAGCACGGCCCCCTGCCCCTTGGGCGACACCTTCGCGGTGTCGTTGCAGGGAGCTCAGACCAGGGCCGATGGCGAGCGATGGTCTGAAAACAGGGAATCAACCATTTCGGCCAATGGAGGGGGTCAGCACCATCCTGCCAGCCGGCACCCGGGCAAAGCAATGAAGATTGTTGCGGCTTGAGCTTTTTAAACAGAGGCTCCATTGCTTGCTTGCTTGATGCCGTGAACTTGGTTCCAAGGGATCTCCAAATTGTTTTTTTCTGTGTTGCAGCATGAGCAAGTGAATGATCTATTGAAGCCCCAAAACCCTGAAAGCTGAGTGTATCCCTCGCGCCATCAGATTGCAATAGTCAAATGGTATCCCTCGCTCAAGTCCTTCATTGATTTGATGGGGTGTACCATGTGGTGTCCTCAAAAGTCCTCCCAAAGACCTCCGACCTCTGTCGAGAAACGACCCCAAGCGGCCACAGTACTGCCTTGCTCCGGTCACCAGTCACTCAGGACTGGCGTGAGCGGTTCAGTGGCGGTCACCGAGACCGTGCAGTCCTTACAGTCGTTGACCCTCACCTGTGACTCTGCCGGGAGCCCCAGCGGAAGCCACGAGACGAGCCCATCAAACGCTGCGACGGACCGGCACGAGATCGGGCGGTCCCTGGGGATTTCTGAAGTGATTGATGGTCAGTTCTCCAAAATGTCACGAAAGCCAAGAGCAATCAGACCATCCCTGTATATTTATATAATATAAAGGTGTTGGTAGCCCAGCCTTCCCTGCGGTCCACGCAGGCCTTTTCTCCTCATACGCTCGGGCATCAAAGTCCCTGCGACATGCGATGATCGTTCCACGATCGACACGGCACAGTCGAAATCAACATTCCTTTTACTTTTTAAAGGAACGTCGAATGCCGCTGCCAGGGATGACAGTCTGGTCCGGATCTTCGATTCCGCGGCTGTTCATGTAGTGAACAAAATCCTTGAGGCCGGCTGAACCACTCTCGCAGTGGCTAATGCAGAACTTGCGATATCCTGCCATGGACTCGTCCTTGCTCTCAAAGACCTCACGATAGGTCTTGACATCCTTGAACTTTCCGAAGGACATGTAGCATTGCCCCCCACTGATCCAAGGAGCTAATCCCTGGAGGAAGCAAAGCATCCGGCACCATGATCTTGTTCTTTCCCCCGCTCGAGGAGGGCATTGGACCAGGCAATTCATTCTCCAAGCCAGCATGGTAGGGTGTTCCAGCGGAGGCATAGCCATGGTGATGCTCATCACGGAGCCTCTTACTCCCGTCCGACATCGTTCCAGAAGGGGAGCGATTGGTAGGCTCAGGTCCATCATGGATCAAGTCCTCAGTGTCAATCACCTGTTGCCACACAGACTTCCAAGCTCCAAGACGTCGAGCCTTCAGGATGAGGCGGGCACATTCATCGTGCTCCTGAGGAAGGAACACTTTGTCGCTCTTCATGGCCATAGCTACGGGCTCTCACAGCGGCAACTCAGCCACTGAACGCTTCGAACACCTAACGATGATCATTTGATCACCTGCTGAAAAGCGGCATCAACACATAACTCCAAAATGGAGGTTGGCAAAACAAGTGCATGTCTCAAGATGCAGGGCTAATGACTGTACAGGTAAAAACGAACGTGTATGTGGAGACTTTGCAAGGCGGCTCAAGAAGTGAACTATCTCACACAAGAAAACACACGAATCCCCTAGGCATTGACTACCGAGTGTTCACACTCTTCCCCAAAACACGCAATGCTTGATTCAGTGCTATTGTGCAGAGTTTTCCTCCTTGGTTTCCTCAGCAAGAGGAGGTGGACCCTTCGATGCAAACTGTTTTCGACGATCCCTCTCTTGTGCTCGGCGTTCCAAAACCAGATTTTCAGGACTTATCTGGTAGCGTGCGGTACGGAGACAAGCACGAATGAGGTGTAAGGCCTCCGGGCTTTCCTTCGTGAGTCCGTCGGCTAGCATTCTGTCAGTGGGGATCCATCGAAGCTGAGACTTTGTCCGAAAAACACAATCCCTCAAGATCACAATATCTATGGCCGTTCGCCGGTCGTCCAAAGTAGGGGAAGAATTTGAGATCAGGTGGTCATAGAGAGATTTGCAATCGGTGATCAGCATGGTCAATCTGTGATCAACTCCGTTCCACAAGCTATGCGCAAAGCGGGGACCGTCCAGGGCCTCCGACAGCAAAAGGTTAGTCCACTCTAGCATACTCGATGCAGTGGCCATACTCTGGGCTTCAGCGCTCAGAGTTGAGCTGACAACCCTTGGCAACCTGTGGCTTTTCCAGTAAGCCGGAGTCCAAGGACTATCAAGACCTGAGTTAATCCCTTGATGAACAAAACTAACCATAAATCCAGCTTGAGTGGAACCCGATCGGCCGTTAGCGAAAGCGGCATCCGAGTGACACATGAGACCCAATTCAGACGGTGGGATGTGGCTGAACCTAATGGCTAAATCTGCGTGTTGACGGGCCCGTCTTACGGCATGATTTGCTGCAATAGCATCATTCACTGTCGGCCGTGGGAATGATTGCTGCGAGAATGACACTTGAGTTGACAAGTCGGGTCTTGATTGCGTTGATAGCCAGTTAAGGCTTCCATTGATAGCTCTCAAACAACTTACCTCATTTTCATTCAACAAGGCTTCACGGGTTCGTGATCGATCACGGGACATGTGCAGGGGTTTTACCTTCTGAACAAACCGTTCTTGCTTCATGATGATTTCGAAGGTTTTTGGATCTTGAACATATTGTGCACCACAGAAATCACCATTCTGAGTACGCCACTTGCGGAACTCAAAGGTCTGTTTCAGCTGAGCGATGGCCTTTCTATAGCCAGCACCACACCCTCCTGTCACACAATCGTCCACATGAACACCATAGATTCCTGTCAGTTTTCCGTTTTCCCGAAAATAGAAAAGACATGAATCGAATCGAGACCGTTCGAAACCGGTTGCAATCAATTCGTGGCTCAACTTCTTATACCAGGCAGCTGGAGAGTCATTCAATCCGTACACATGTCCTAACACTTCTATCAAGGCTCCATCTGGGATGCCAGGGATACCCCCTTTTGGCAAAGAGGCGTACAACGGCTTGTAACGTTGGGGAAGATTACCAGCGGACAGGAATGCTCCTTTTATATCCCCCAACTGCATCTCCCATTGGTGACTAGCCAACAATTGGAAAATCAGGTTACGACCAACCTGGGACAGTGTGGGACTCTGGAGGTCTCCAAGCTCAGCCTTGGCTGTGAGATCTGGATCCAAATGACCCTGAAGGCACCAACGAGCTTTGAAGCGAGGGGCGGCATCGTCTTCAACTTTCAAGGTCATCACATACCGACTACCCATGATACGATGGCTCAGGTACCTACGAACGTCATCAGCCTCAGAACCAAGCACTACACGACCAGCATGCTTTCCTTCAATGGTGTTCCATTCCAACAGCTTGGCTTCATCTACTTTCTTCTGAATCTCCGGAGGGTTACCGGTTACCGGAATTTCTTTTGCAGCTTTCTTTTGCATGCATGTGGCAACAAGCACTTCACAAGGCATCCCCTGTTGAAACAAAGTCACCAGTTCTTGTTTGGCACTACGGTCGAGACCATCATGAATGTCACCCATAGAGTGGCTTTGAAGGAGCTCTACCGAACAAACACCAATCTCATCCATGGCAAAAGTGGCACTCTCAACTAACAGATCCTCTTCCATCCCATGGGGGCGTTTCTCAACTGGTTCAACACCGGCATCAGCTGGTTCGATCGATCGTTTCGTCCCTCGACTCGAACTCGACGATGATCCTTCGCCGGCTGGTGGTGGATCTGTGAGGTCCGGACTACTGCATGACTCTTTCTGCAAGACTTGTTGGAGAAGTTCAGGCACGATCTCTTGCATCATATCTTGAAAGTCCTCTTGCGCCATTCGTCCCGGACGATACAGAGCCATTGGGCCATCCTTTTGACCAACGCGCCGTCTCGGCGGTCGGACAGGACCATATGCAGCCTCTTGAGGCGACACAACACTTGTGGATCCAGTTCCATTGGGCTTTTGTCGATGAGCGGTGGCGGTTCTGGTGATTCACTCTCCTCTTGTGGCGGTGCATTCACTGGAAATGGACCGAGGCGAGGTTTTCCATGCTCAGCAACGGAAGGCCGGTCGACCACGGCTGGTGAGCTACCTTCTTCAACTTCAGGATCTACCCCAGGGTATGACTCGGAGGTCAGGTCTACATATTGCCTACTTTCAAGTTGGTGTGATTCGATCAGGTGCTTGATACCTAGGAATTCCATATGGGGAGTTTCGGTCAGCTTGAGTTCATCCTGAGTGGATGGACGAATTTGCTCTGGGGCACACCGGAAAATCTGTCTCTTATGGATGATCACTAGGTTACGACCCACATAACCCAACACGAGTGCAGGGCCACACCATCTTCCAGTCTTATCCAAGGAACCATGAACCCACTTTTGTGATCGCCAGTAGGCGACATAGGTTCCGGGACTATAGGTGTGATGTACACGAGGCCGGGCGGCCAAGGCTTGGCGAAGCGCCTTGCTATCTTGCAAATCGAGCACTGCCTTTCGAGCAGTCTGTCTGATTGCAACTTGCTTGGCAACGGCTTCGTCGTACAAAGCCGAGGTGGCAGGTACGATCTCTAGAGGTTCATCGAGGAAGAGTCTCAGGCACTCTATATAGGGTTCTTTCCAAACACGAACTGAGATGGCGTCATACCATACACCTGGATTAACTGATTTTTACAGTGAGCTGCATTTACACAGTCAAGCCATTCGGTTTGGTTTCGGGGTGCATGTTCGGACAAGATCTTGGTGAGCACTCTACTAAACCAACCCCCGTGAACCTCAGTCTTACCTAGCTGCCAGTGTGCATCGCCAGCAGTCAACTTGAAACTTGCTCCTCCCTGCTCAAGCACAGCAGTGAACGCATCGGCCACGTTGGCGCGTGCAGGGTCACACACAATCTCTTGTGGCATGCCTGCCCAAGACACCCATCGTTCCATGAACGCTTGCTTGATGATATCGGATGTCTCACGCTTGAACACTGGGACCATGATTTGCAAAGAACTGGCTTGATCGACAATATTGAGGGCTGGAACCTTTTGATTGGTATCCCACCCAGGCAAATACTTGATGTCAATCCCAACAACAGCATTAAACTCCACAGTTCGATGGACCTGAGCAGGCAAAGCTACCTTGGGTGTCTTCTGGGCGAGACACAGGTCACACGAGAACCGATGTGCCGCTTCCAGAGCGGCCGCGGATGCGCCCCCATGCTTGAGGACTCTCACAAGCTGTTGATTTGTAGGATGACCAAGGTTATTATGCAGTCGACGAAGTCTTCTTGATTCAGGTCCTCAAGCGTGTGAGCTACTAGGCATTCGGTGGAACAATCTGATTGGACCACCAGGCCAAGGGTCTTAACAAGTCCCACACGAAGGACGGCTCTGACAAATGCCGGTGTGTATTTTGCTGCAAATTTGCTGATGGAACCTATCTTTGGCCAACTTCCGGCTATGCTCTGGTGATGTTGGTGATCCGTGTGAGTGGGACCAGGGCATTTCTTACCTAGGCATCTCATGTCGGCATGAGAAACTGCTAACCTAGTGGCTTTGCGGATCAGAGAGCCGCCTGGAACACGAAGGCCGTAACAGCACATGTCTACGAACACGGAATGCAATCGTGATTGAAGCTTTTCCATACATGGCATCTTCCAAGCAATGGAGTCTTGCGGATGTTCGAACAGGCACCTACCTCCCGACACTAGTTGGATTTCTATCAGCTGGCAACAGAAACGCACGAACAGCTGAGTCCACGTCTCCCTGAGTCGCACCTCGTTTGGATCCATGTGCAAACGATTGAGGTGCCACCAGCCCCCTGCCCACGTGCATGGCGGGCACAACACTAGCAAGTCAGGTGGATTGGTTCGAACAAGTGTCAACAGGTTTTCACGATCACTCTTCCGACGAAAGTCCCATCCCGTGCTAAGGTCAGCTGACAGAACACGATACCCTCGAGTTGCACCCTCTAAGGCGAATCGTGGTGGAGAGAACACCTCAATGACATGATACCTATCATGCGACACCTGGTCCTCCCGCTTGGGCACCTTGACTTGTGCCATCAACTGTCGATGCTGCTTGGCAGTCCACTGAGTGACATGGAGCTGCTCGATCTCATCCTGGGCATAAGCAATCGACGGCATGACGGCATCGGATCGGAGTCGAAAGACGGTCCTCCCCGTCCACGGTTGTTCACCGAGTACAGCATGTGCGGTGTCAGGCTCAAACCATGAATCCCGATGGTCCCAAGGCAACGGCGGCGGAGTATCGAACTGGGTTGTCCGCTCCGGCTGGAGCATCTCGACATCGACGGGGCATTGTGTGCTCTGCGGGGTGAACAACCTTTCCCGGGGTTTAAGATGATGACGAATAACCAATCGTTCCCGGGGCTTCAACTCCCAAAAATCTTTCTTACGGGCCTGTTGACGATTGAAGGCGACCGAGTGGCATGGTTGAGCTGCAGGCTCAACGGAATCGTGCACTGGCTTCAAAACGGGCTGCGGAAATAACTCGGCGGCATTCTTCGGAAAGGCCGATACATTCACAGCATACTGTCCTGCAGCATTCACCTCCAACGGAATCTCAACCCGGTCAGAAAACAGGGTCAGCTTGTCTTCTCCAAAGTTCATGGAGGCGCCCTGATATTCACGGTGGTCACAGTCCTCCCCCGAAAAGTATCGGAGCGAGGTTCCAGCCTCCATGGCAACCTAACGGCGCAGTCGAACGCTCCGGCCCGCTTCCAGCGAACCAAGGAGCAGGAGACAGGATTTGTACCTGCTCCGCTACCAACGTTGGTAGCCCAGCCTTCCCTGCGGTCCACGCAGGCCTTTTCTCCTCATACGCTCGGGCATCAAAGTCCCTGCGACATGCGATGATCGTTCCACGATCGACACGGCACAGTCGAAATCAACAAAGGTATAGGGAACGGTTCCTTAACATTCGGGTCATAAATGGGGCGTGATGTGTGCAGACATTCACACTTGCATTGAGCTTGCGGTTGCAAGTTTTATGTTCACGAAAATTCACTAAAGTGTCCCACGGGGACATTTTGGCTCAAGTTGGGTGGCAACCTCGTGTGAGTTGCCAACGGTGATTCTGACGCCTGTTTTCATCCATAGGTTTTTCACTTTTCACGCCCATCGCTATGGCGCACCCTATGGAGTCAGAGTACGTGATGATCGAAACTTTCACTGAATCTCAACCAGCCGCTGAGGAAGTGACAGACGCGGCTACGGTCAGTAGCCCTGACATGGATCGACTCAACCAGGCGGACGCGGCATCCACAGCTCTCCGCCATGCCGAGGACGAGGCAAGCCTGTCATCGTAGAAGACAGTGGACAGCGCCTCTGCCCCCATGCCCATTCGGTTTTCGGCTGCGGAGGAACCTCCGAACCACCTGCGGTTCGACGTTCCCACCTTCGTTCCCGCCAATTCCAGGGCACCTGGCCCACTTGGCCAACCTTTTGATTGTCTGCTGGTTGAGCAGTACCTGCCTCTGCGGGCGATTGCCCATCACGAGAAGATCTGGACGATGATCAACGGGGTGGCTATGTCCGCCAAGACCATCGAGAAGGCCATGGGCCGGATGCAGTGGGCCACGGTGTTGCCCATTGACCAAATCATTGCTGCAGCCCTTCTGGGCTTGGAAGATGGCCATCCAGACCATGGGACATCCTCCCAAGGTGGTCCCTATGTTGGCATGTCTTTTGAAGGAGCTCTTCACTCTCCCCTTCGAGCATTGGTGGGGATGCAGCGACGCGTGCCTCGGCCCAGGGAGAGGCCTACGTATAGGGGGATGGTGCAGTGATGCCCATCCCTCCAAGGCGGAGGTCTTTTGGTTCCACTACCAGATCATGCCCGCCGAACACCCGTGGGCATTCAAGGATGGCAACACCCAGAAACGAATCGCTGTACTTGAACTGCTGGGTACCCTACTCCTGTGCAAACACCTGATCGCCCAACAGGGCATTGCGCCGGGTCGGGTCCGGCTACCTGTGGGCAGCGACAACTCCAGCAACATCTTCAGCTTACTGAACCTCTCGCCCAAGAAACCCCACACTGCGGCCCTCTTGATGGAACTGGCGCTCACTCTTCACCGTGAGGGCTGCAATTTGGCTCCGAGCCACATACCCCGGAATTCAATACCTGGGCGGATGAACTCACACATCCAGACATTCAGGGATTCTCATCAGACAGCCGGCTACCGGATCCAACAGATCTTTTTTCCTTTTCTTTAGCAATTCGCCTCTTGTCGAGCACAAATTTTTCCTAGCTTCCCACCCAAGATCCCGTGACTGGATCCGGTGGGAGTCCTCCTGACCCCAGGCCCCTGGTCTCCTGACAGGTGCCACTGGCCCTGGATGGAGACCAGGGGCATCGGGTGTGTCAGGCGTGAGCGGTGAGTGAAACTGCCTGCCACCCTGATTTCAACGTGGAACGGTCACAAGGTGACCATCAAGGATGGGGCCTGGGGAGGACCCATGCATCTCTCAAAGCACTACGACAAAAGGCTGCTTGCTGCTTTTGTTGCTTTTAGGGATGTTTTTGATTTTTGTGTACATAATTTATATCAATAACATATTATACTGTTTCATTTCTGGACGCTTTGTTTCGTTTCTACTAGATAGACTCGCCATCGATATCTCGACTTGCGCGACCAAGGCCGCGCCGGGCCATGATGGAAGCTTCTCGGTGCTGTGCAGCGGAGGCGGCGTTGGGACAGCGACATGCGCAGCGAAGTCTTGCGGAGCTCCACCGAAGGTCGTGTAACATTTGGTTGGAATCCATCGCTAGTAGGTTGGAGGCCAGCGTTATTAGGGTGGAGGCCATCGCTGTTGGGGTTGGAGGCCATCGCGACTAGGGTGGAGGCCATTGCTATTTGGGTGGAGGCCATCGCTATTAGAGTGGAGGCCATCTCTATTAGGTTGGAGGCCATCGCCATTAGGTTGGAGGCCATTGCGATTAGGTTGGAGGCCATCGCCATGAGGGTGGAGGCCATCGCCATTAGGTTGGAGGCCATCGCGATTAGGTTGGATGAGAAGTATGACTCAGCTGCAAGGGCGGCATTAAGCCGAAGCTTGCTTCAATGAGTCCTTTGGTAAGAAAAGACAGCAACATAATGTAGACTTTGGGGCGTCCTTTTGCCTGTAACAGTCAGTCAGTAAGCAATAATCACTATTCCAGAGAAAGGCCTTTGCTAACCATCATCATCCACTGTTACAGGGAATAGGGTATACCCAATGTAGACTCTTGACTCCTGATCAATAAACAGGACCCCGTTTTGGAATTCCAAGTGGGAGTCTTTACTCCACAATACTACACAAAAAGTTAGTCAAGAGTCTGCATTACCAGAGCGGAGCTGTACTTGGTTGTTTTCGATTCAGATTTTTTTTCCCCCTTTGGATGACGGAGGGAACGCCAAGCCTGGAAGCATGGGAGCCATGCACATGGCATGGCAGCAGTTGTGGCTCCCGGTCTTTGCTGGTTGATGGGCATCAGGATTCTTCTTCTACAACTGCAAAATCAACTTGGCCGGGACACATGCTGTGCATCACCGGTTCTCGATGGGTGTTCGTCCATGAGGGTGTAGAAGGCTATCACCGGGCCACCCCTTTTCCATGGTTTTTTCCAGGATGCCAAGCCACACGGTTTGTGCAGTTCCGAATGACTTGGAGCCCGTGTATCTGGAACCTTTGAGGGACTGTCTTGCCATCGCCGGCACTGGCTCAGCTGTAGCTTGAAGAACGGTCGCACAATTTGGGTGTGGGTCGGAAGCTTGTGCACACTGCACACAAGATAACACAAGATACTTAATTAAACATCTTAAAACATATCAAGATCAACCCATCCAGAGCAGGCACCTCTCAGCTCCTCATTTTTGCATCTTTTATCTGCATTTTGACCCACACCTACATCATGGATGGCATCAACTACGGTGTGTCGTACGCACAGAGCCGGGTGCCACACGCTCCACCGACGGCGCCCACGGCGCCAGCACCTGGCACGTGGACATCTGCGTCAGTGCACGAGGACTTCAGAGCTCCCGTGCCACGCGCCGTGCCCATCCCCCGGTTTGCGATTCGCTGGATGCATGAGGCGCGAGGTGGAGGAAAGCAACCGAATGTAGGCATAGCGATGTTTTTGACGGTTTTCTTCCTTTTCTTGTCTCTTTGTTTCTAATAGCGATGGCCTCCACCAGAAGAGGGGACCCAAGTTTGAACAGTGTCGGACCGGCAACATGACTGAACCCATGTTGAATGTATCCAAAGTCTAAACTCGAGTCGGTTGTGGGTGACACACCGCACGGCCAGGCATCACACTGATAGAGTCTGGACGTGTTTTCAGTGACAAGTATAGGTCTTGCCGTGTCGCCGGTGCCATTCTTTGTCGCCCTGTGGAGGCAGGCAAATGCATCCCATGCCGATTCTTTGCTTTTAAGGCCATCCGCCCTGCGAGGAGTTACGCCCTGTGGGCCGGACCCTGTCAGATGAAAGGAATCTGAGACCTCTTTGGCAATCTGAGATCCAACAGGATCTATTCACGACTAGATCTTTGGATATCTTTGGTTGAACATGGATCTTGGGTGCCAAATTGCGAAAGCTCCAATTCCAGGAGTTGGCCATGGCACCATGGCACGTAGGGAAATTGGACATCAATTGCATGACAGTGGAACCCCACATCCTCCCACAAGCGATACCCTTGCTCTTCACAAAAGTTGGGCATCCTTTGCATCACACCTAAAGAGCTATTCCAACCTCAAAGGACATCGCTACGAACAGAACAAGAACGCTACTAGGGGCTGCATTGCTACTAGGAACAAGAACGCTGCGAACGGAGCAAAGGGCATCGCTACTATAGTAACAAGGACGCTATTTGTGGCTCCTGGCATCGCTACTAGGAGCAAAAACGCTACTAGGAACAAGTGCATCGCTGCTAGTAACAAGTGCCTTACTACTAGTAGTAACAAGGACGCTATTTGTGGCGCATCGCTACTAGGAACAAGGACGCTACTAGGGGCTCCTGGCCTTACTAGTAGTAACAAGAAGCTATTAGAAACAATAAAAAGGAAGAATAGCCTCCTTTACTACTAGCAAACATTGTTACTACTAGTAAGGCACTTGTTACTACTAGCGAGGCACTTGTTTACTATTCCAACCTCAAAGAGTTTCCTTCTTTTTCGGAGTTCGGAGCCGCATGGCCAAACGCCACACGAAGCGACCGTTTCGGTGGGTGGTTCCGGAATCCGCTCCTGTCGTTCGAACAGGAAGACGGATGTCAAAAAGGCAACGCTTGCGAGTTCTGTCATTTTTGCGGTCAAGAAGCAGCTGTTAGGCAGGTTGCGGAATGGGTGAGGCTGGGAGAAGTTAGACTCTTAGACCTTGGTTGCTTGGTTTTTGAGACATATCCATGTGGGTGTATGAAGGAGCCTTGTATGATCTTGTATAGGTACATGACCAAAAGCAGCCAAATGTTGTTCATTTGTTAGGAAAAGTTTGTGTTGTTCCTGTATTGGATCCCAGCCTTTGATGGTATGATATGCGTGGTATGTAATTGTTATCATTTTGTACTCTGGTGGTGGTCCCGTTGGGCATTTGGCCGTCACGGCAGCGGGGTTGAACCTTGCTTGGTGAGACATCCCTGAGATCCGGCCGCACAATGGCCTCCAACCTGATAGCGATGGCCTCCAACCCAATAGCGATGGCCTCCAACCTAATAGCGATGGCCTCCAACCT